TCTCTCTCCCTTCCTCTCTCTCCCTCCCACTCTATCTGTACAAAAAATGGAAAAATATCCTCGGGTGAGGATTAAAAAAAAAAAAAAAAGGTTTAGAATATAATGAAGTCATCATATGGTAAAATAATAGATGAGGTTATAGTATAAAAATACAAACAAAAAAAGCAAGGATATACTATTACTAAGAGACAAAGCAAAATAACAAAGTAGCCTTAAACAGAACACAACTAGTCATCTTTGTAAATGAGTAAAATCATATAAAATGTTAAAGACGCAAATCAAGACATAAACTTTTTATATGCTGAATAATGCTGCATCAAAATACCTAACAAAAAGCTGTCAGAAACTGGAAAACAAGAGCAGTAGGACACTTTAACCTGTTACCATGACTTCTCTCATTTATCGATCAAGTAGGTAAAAAATAAGCGCTGAAAGGAGCTACAAAATGAATATTAGCTCTCACTGCTGACAGGTTCCCTCCTGCTCCTATTCACAGTCCCCCGCCACACACACACAGAATGGTAGGCACAATGCAGAGTATCTTCCTACTTATTTAGGCAATCTTGTTTCAAGAACTGAAGCCACTGAAGGCAAGTGCTAAAATATGAATATGCTTTCCTCATTTCTGCTCCACCTGTCTTAAAATTAGGGTCAATTCTTCTAAGATTTTCACACTATAACAGTATCTGTTGGTCTCAGATCAGCACAATGGAAAAAAACCTAAGGTACTTCGAAGTTCATATTATATAACTGTACACATTAGGTTTACTAATACTAAAAACTTTAAACAAATCTCAATAAATTATAGCCGAAATTCAATACAAAAAAGTTCTAAGCAAAAACTCACCTCATATTTTGAGAGGCAGTAGTATTAAGTAATGAATAGACCATGGATTCAATAATCAGACAGCTTGGGTTCAAATCCCAGCTCTGCCACTTATTACCAATATCACTGAGAAAGTTCTTTATGTCTCAGTATCCCCATTTGATATGTCCTAACAAAAGTATGCACTCACGTGATCACCCCCTCAAATCTAGGGAACATTTTCCTCACTCCAAAAAAATCTCTTTTGCAGTCAATTCCCCCTAGTTTACTCCAGGAAACCACTGAGAGTTTTAAAACAATCTCTTTTAAGAATGGTGACATATCCTTTGAAGGAAATTTACTTTCCAATTTGCCTTTTGAAGAAATATTTGTATTCCCTTTTAGATTACAATCCTGGGATGTACCCTTATCCCTCTGACCTATGCCTCAGAAGATAATTGCTATGTCACCATTGCAAGCAAGCCACTTTTAGACAAAAGAAGTACTAAATTCAATTAGGGGAGGAAAACTAACAAATTTGATATTAAAACATTTTACCTATTGGCACAGAGATCTTTCTCTTCTTGAAGTCTGGCTTAAACACAAAGCAGCCCTATAAAAAGAAAAAATAAAGCATAGTCAAAGTAGCCACAGAGCAGATAAATCTATTAACCAAGTATTTTATTGATAATCAGGGTTTTTTTAAAAGGTGTTTCTTTTAAGTGCTAAGAAATCATCTCTTTTCTATCTGAGTTACAGAAGGAAAATTCTTAAATACAATGACTATCCATTTCTTTCTCCTTTTTCCCATGTGATGTGCATCTTTGATTATGCTAATTGAAACTTGATCCAAGAAGTAGACAAAGAAAATAAATGCTGATAATATTTAAAGGCAAATCGTTTCCATTTTTATAAAACTTAGAGAAAACCATTAATAATATACATTAAAATGAAGATTAAAAAAATATAAAATAGTGACGCTCTCACATCTCAAGAAAAGTGTTTGTTTTGTTGTTGTTTTTTTCTTTATTGATTTTAGAGAAAGAGGAAGGGAGACGGAGAGATGGAAACATCGATGAGAGAACATCGACTGGCCGCCTCCTGCATGCTCCCCACTGGGGATTTGGCCGACAACCTGGGCATGTGCCTCCTGGTGTATGGGTCAACACTTAATCATTGGGCGACACCAGTTGGGCAGAAGTATCTGTTATTTAATTAAACTCCAACTACCTAGAATCTTGGCGGGAAATAGATAATGTGGGCTATTACTGCTTTACCTTTCTTCATCTGATCAACTCTTATTCATTTATGCATTACACATAAACTCAAACTCATCCACTCTAGTTAGAATTATCTCTTCCCCTAAGATCTCACAGTACTTGAATATCTTTATTTTTAATCACATTTACTCTGTATCACAGTTATTTAGGGTCTGTCTCGCTAAGTAGTTTGTGAGCACCTTCAGAGCACAGACTGCATTTAGTTCATATTTATTTCCCAAATTTTAGGATAATGTTAATGTACATATTAGGCAGTCAGTATACAGAATGAAAGCTTGTCAAGTAATATTCCTGGCAACTTTTTAGCAACATTTAGTTCCATGTTATTATTTGATTAGTGATTTACAGCCCCCAAGCTACTGGTTATATGTTTATTTTACCAATCCTAAAGCCACACATCATGGGTAGCTTCTTAAGATTGCCATTTCTATGTAAAATGAAAGAAAAAATATATCTAGAAAAAGTCATCTCAGTATAGTGCTAAAGAGCAATGCAAGTATAATCTGGATTACAGGATCCAAAGTGGGAGCTATGCCTTATACTCTTTTTTTCTGCAACTAGTGGAACTATTCAAAACACAATATACATATTTAGAAAAATCGTGTGTTACCATGACAAGCTTGTCATTACCTCCTTTCTATATTCATCTGTAATTCACTAAAGGAAAAGGAGCTTTGAAGGACTGAGATACAAAGAGTGCCAAGAATGAATCCTAATGTATGGCAGTGGTAGTAATATGGTTAGCCACTTTGAACTCCTGATCAAGGGATGGTATATGAGATGGAGGAAGAAGTCTAGGAGGAGAGCAGACAGCAAGAAAATATAACAAGAAAAGGGAAGTTTAGATAGTTAGGGAAAAAAAGCTGGCTGTTCCATGAATTTGGAAAATAGTCTTTAAAGATTCTTACTTATGTAAGGCCCCCTCATAGTCATCTCAACACAAGCATTTCTGTTATAATGCAATGAGTGCTTTCCTGAAAACAACAACAACAAAAAACAACAATTCACAATTTTACAAGATATACAAAAATAAGAAACAGTCTTGCCCTGGCAGGGTGGCTTAATTGGTTGGAGTGTCATCCTGTATAACAAAAGTTTGCAGGTTCAATTCCTGGTCAGGGCACATACCTAGGTTGTGGGTTCAATCCCCTGTCTGGGCAAGTACAGGAGGCAACTGATTGATGTTTCTCTCTCTCATCATGCGCGCGCTCTCTCTCTCTCTCTCTCTCTCTCTCTCTTTCTTTCACACCTTTCCTCTCTAAGGATCAGTAAAAACATATCCTGGGGTGAGGATTAAAAAAATAATAAGAGGCTTATGCAACTAAAAGGATCAGAGGACAGACCATGGAACTTTACAACCAGGGCAAAATAAAAACAGTACCAATACCAATTTAAAAAAAAAATACTAGCAGTTAAATCTCTTCAGGCTTGCACATAGCATCAGTTAAGTCAATCCTTTGTAAATAAACTCTAAGTTTGTAGCTCCTCCTTGATATGTAGTCTTGGAAGGCAATGCTTCTGATAATTTCATTTTAATCAAAATTAAAAATTAGATCCATGGTGTAGCTTTCTTTAGTAATCTGATTTAATACAGACAGAAATGTCTTTGCATCTTCTTCATCTGCCTTCTCAGCTTTATCAGACAGCTTAAGTTAAGAGGCTTCCAGTTGCAATCATAATATTACTAAAGGTCTTACTTTACTTTGTCTATAAGGGCTATCCAATAGGACTTTCAGTAACAAGGAAAATATCATAATCTGCACTAATATGTAGTCACAGCCCCGTGTGGTTATTGAGCATTTCAATTGTGGCTAGTGAGACTGAAGAACTAAAAATTTGATTTTATTTAATTTTACTTTAATTTAAATACCCACACGTGGCTAGTGGCTACCGCACTGTACAACAGAGCTCTAAAGTTTATCTTCTTACCAACTATACTATGTCTTGCAACCCCTGGCCTTCTAAACAGCCAGTATGAGATCTTTGTGATCTACATACATATACATACATACACACACACACACACACCCCACGACTTTTTCATTCCCATTTTTCATAAGGTTCCCTTCTCCAGCTCTACTCTCTGATTATACAGTTCTCAATTCCTTTAACGTGCCATTTTATCTCTATCTTCTGGGCCAAAGAACATGTCTTTCTTCTAAAACCGCCTCCGCCTCCCCAATCCTTTACCTAACTTCTCATTTTTCAGGTCTCAGCTAAAATGTGACTTTCTCCAAAAGCCTTCGCTGACCTTAGGCAACCTAGATTAAGTTCTTCTAGCTCCTCTGCTCTCTCACTTAGAACTTTCTTTCTTGCTAACATTAATCACAATCAGTGGTCAGTTTATCTGTGTTTAATGTGTTTACTGAGTGCAAAAACTGGGTCTCCTTTGTTTACTCTGGTATCCTGGTACCTAACGGACTGCTTGGCGCACAATAAACATTTGAGAAGGAAACAGGACGGGAGACTGGGGAACATCCTCCGGACAGTCGACCTCCACAAACCAGAATTTACAAATCCTCCCAGTCAAAACACTACGGCCGGCGGCCGTCTTCGCACCCCAAGCAAAGTTAGCCTCCACCGGACCTGGAGCAGAGATGCCCCAGCTCCGCCCGTCGCACCTTCTCCTGAAATCGGTACACCTAGGCCTACGTAACCTCCGCTTCATGCCTTCTTCAAAAGGGAAAGAGACTATGTCAGCATCGTACCAGCCGCCCGCCCCTCGTACCTTGGACACCGAGGAGGTGGCCATGGTCCCAGCGGCCCGCGGGAATCTAGAAACTCGGGATTTCCCGCGCTCCCTCGCGGCAGCAGGGCAGAGGTTAGTGGCGGGCCACTGCGCTTTTTGATTGGCTAGCGTCACCCTTCGGGGCGGGCTTCCGGCGCACGGAGGTGGGGTTGCAGAGGAGGGCGGGCGGCCAGGACGCGCTTCGTGGAGGCGGACATGGCGTGCGGCTTCCGCAGGTCCATCGCCTGTCAGGTACGGGCCCGGAAACTGGCAGAAGGAGATCCCCGCGGGGCCCCGCGCCCCGAAGCCGTTCCGCCGCTGCGGGCCAGTCCTCAATTCGCGGGAGGGGCGGGTTCTGAGAAAACCATCTCTGCCGCCTCCCCCGGGTTTTTTGGAGATGCTTCATTCAGCTGCTGAGGCAAACCCGGTGGAGGGTCGGGCGTGCGGCGCAGATCAGTTTTCAGGGTGAAAAGTAAACTTTGAAAGGCACATGTTGCTTCCCACTCTCCAGCTTTGTATGCTTATTTGGGTGGAAAGTTATTATCCCGTGATTAGACCCCACAGAAGTTAATGTTGACCTAGAGAAATCAGGAGGCTTTGCTAGAAATGAATAATAAAGATTTATTAAAGGGTCTTACGGTTGGTAAACCAAAAATACAACTGTGCGATGCCCAGGGTGTTCTGAAGAAAAATCCAAGGGTTCTTATAGTGAAAAGTACATTCTTGAGAATTAGTTCTTACCCTCTGAATTCCTAGGTGAGAATTAGCCCTAGGTGATAATCCTCTCGATGACCAGTGGTTTGGGTAGTGGGTATCAGGTGGTATGGATATGTGAAATTCTTTTCCTTCAGAGAGTAATCAGGATTACCTGGAGAGTTTATATATATCCAGACATTAGTGCAGGACTGGGAACTTGAAAATTTTAAGTTCCTATACTAGTTAAAGCAATAACAGAATTGTTGCTTCATACCTCAACCTACTTGATTACTTAGTAGCTGGACTATAGTGACCTCATTTTATTTCTTTATTCTTTGGTGTTCTTTACACTTAGTGAAGAAGATGATGGGTCTGAATTATTATTCTAAAAAATCTAATTTCAAAAGTGGTCAATTCTGCCCTGGCCGGTTTGGCTCAGCGGTTAGAGCGTCGGCCTGCGGTCCAGAGAGACCCGGGTTCGGTTCCCGCTAAGGGCATGTACCTCGGTTGCAGTTTGTCCCCGGCCCTGGTCGGTTGTGCGGGTGGCAGTCACTCAATGTGTCCCTTTCACATCGATGTTTCTCTCTCTCTCTCTGTTCCTCTCTCTCCCTCCCACTCTACCTGAACAAAAAAATGGGAAAATGTCCTCGGGTGAAGATAAAAAAAAAAGTGGTCAATTCTTTTGTGGCAGGCTCTTGGCTGCCTGCCCTAGCATTAGTTTTGATAACTCAGAAAATAGCATGGGACTCTGTTTTTCTTGATTCAGTTATCTTTAGAACAGCTCTGTAATGAGGAGGGGAATAAAATACTGCAACAAACTTGCCCTCCAAATCATTAGGGAAGTTCTCTTCTGAACCTTGAAGTTTCAGTTGTTACCTGGTTTGCTGTCTGTCTGAGTCTTGGAGCAAATACAGACCTGTACCTGAAGAAAGTCTGCAAATGTGGAACCCCTTGAGGATTGATTGGCTCTTGGTTGCAAACATACACATCTGACCTGGTTGTATTAGAGTCAGAAGTGAGGAACTAGGAGTAATTGATAGTTTAAGTAATTTAAGATATGGAAGAATAATTGGTAACATTTTAAGAGTTTAAGACTCATAGCTTTGCAAACTGTTATATGAATAAAAATTTTCTTTCTTTTTTTTCGTTAATCCTTGCCTGAGAATATCTTTCCATTGATTTTTTTAGATAGAGTAGAAGGGAGGGAGAGAGAGAGAAACATTGATGTGAGAGAGACATCTATCGGTTGCCTCCCAAACAACCCTGACCATGGCTGGGATCATACCTGCAACCCAGGTACGTGCGCTTGAGCAAAAATAGAACCCTTGACCCTTCCGTCTGAAGGCCGATGCTCCAACCGCTGGGCCAAACTAGGGCCAGAGATAATTTTCATAAGAAGATGTCAGTTCTGTCACTTATATGTCTGGTTACTAAAGCACAGGATCTCTTACATTAGCAAAATTGGGGTTTTTATATGATGACCAGAAATTTGATCTTCAACTTGGCTCCTAACTGAATATAGAATTTTTCTGAGCCAGACTGATAGGATAGTTTTTGGCTTTGTGTTCAGTCCCTGGCTATGAGGGATAGGAGTTGTGTGTGCCTGGGAAAGGAATGGTTGAGAGCTGCCCAAAAGCTGATTAATTAATGTATTTTCTCATACTGGGAGTCAAAGATTCTATTATATTAGAATCTCTTACCCTAGGTTGCCAAATCTAAGGCTTAGAATTGTACCTGGTACCTTGTAAGCATTCAAGGTAATTATTCAATAATTAGCCATTATTATATTACACATTAGAACCTCCCAAACCAGAAATTGTATGCATGAATTTTTCACTTTTGATACTCTGAATAAGTGCTCCCTGCCTTGAGCCTCACATTTTTTCCTCATTCATTTGTGGTGTTATTTAGTTTATGTCTCAAGGACTATGCCTAATATTTTGTGAATTTTATTTCTGTGTTCAAATTTTGAGCTTTACTGTTATAGTCTTTTATTATTTTATTTTCTTTGAGTAACTATTAGTATAGTTTATTCTGAAAAACTTTCTGTCATCAATATGAGGCTGTAAGTAGTTAGTTATCAATAGGACCTCCTAACACCTCTGGTAGCCCTAGATGAAGCCCAATGCCAGGATTAGCACTATACTTGAAGGTGAAAAAAGAAAAATCCCCATGAGAGAAAGCACTAAATACAATCTTATTATTTCCAGAATAATTCTGAACCTGTGAGAATGTAGGTGAGTTAAAAATCATGCTGTCTGACATTTCACTGCTGAACAGTGGTTCTTTTATATTTGTATGTGTGTGTGTGTACCCACCCATTCGAAAGTTACTCCCCTAATTAAAAGCACTCACTAGCCTGGGCACTGATTGTTAACATGGAGGGCAGCTGGTATCTCCCTTAGCAGTGGTTTTCAAGTCTTAGCTGCAGACTGAATCACCTCAGAAGCATTGAAAAATACCTAAGCCCAGACCCTGGCCTGGGGTGGGGTAGGTGTCTTAACTCTAAAAATTATCAGGTGATTTTAATGTTCATCCAGGCTAACCACTGACCAAGGACGACCAGGAGGCAGAAAGTGTGGTCCCCACACTTCACTGCATGTACAATGAACCCAAGAACTTTTTTTTTTAATCCTCACCCAAGGATATTCTTCCATCTATCTTCAGATAGTGTGTGTGTGTGTGTGTGTGTGAGAGAGAGAGAGAGACAGACAGACAAACAGACTGACAAACAAACATCGATGCTAGAGAGGCACATTGATTGGTTGCCTCCCACAGGACCCCTACCAGGGCCAGGAACTGAACTGAAACTGAGGTACTTGCCCCTGGCCAGAATCGAACCCACAACTCTCCAGTCTGTGGGCTGATGCTCTAACTGCTGAGCCAAACCATCAGGGCTGAACCCAAGAACTTTTTTTTTTTTTTTTTTTTTTTATTTTTTTTTTTTTTTTATCCTCACCCGAGGATATTTTTCCATTTTTTGTACAGATAGAGTGGGAGGGAGAGAGAGGAGGGGAGAGAGAGAGAAACATCGATGTGAAGGGACACATCGAGTGGCTGCCACCCGCACGACCAACCAGGGCCGGGGACAAACTGCAACCGAAGTACGTGCCCTTAGCGGGAACCGAACCCGGGTCTCTCAGGACCGCAGGCCAACGCTCTAACCGCTGAGCCAAACTGGCCAGGGCTGAACCCAAGAACTTTTAAACATCCTGTTATTGACATGGACAACAAAGCTGGGGACAGGGTGGGGAGGGAGGAGGAGGGGAGTAGTAGTGGGGGAGAGGGGAGAAACATCTGTAACAAAAATAAATATATTAATTAAAAAAGAAAAAATCCTGTTATTCAGGTCACACCCAGTGCTACTTAAGTCAATATATTCATGATCCAGGCATCAATGTTTTCCAAAGACCACTGGGTCATTCCAATGTGTAGCAAAGTGTGCAAACCATTGGTAAAATGATTAAGAACACTGACTGAGGACATGTGGGTTTAAACCCAGCTTCTCAGGTAGGTAAGTTCTGTCCCTCATTTGTAAAATCTGGAAAATTATTTAGCTGCCTATAGGCTTGTCATTAGGATTTAATGAATTAATACGTTTATAGTACTTAGGATTGTGTTTGGTACATTGTATATACTCGATAAATATTGTTCATTATGTAAAATTAGAATGCTAAGGATAGTATTTTGAACCCCCTTTCCACAACGCTACCATCCCACAGGTTTTTTGATGTGGGGGACCTAATTATACATTACCCTTCCTGAATGCTTTAGCCCCACATGAAGTTAGATCACCAGAAAGCTACATATCTGAACCTGACTTAATTTTCAATGACAATTCCTTAGCTGTACTTTAATAAGGTTGTGCTTTTGTAAAGAACACATTTTTTTTCTTTTTTTGCAAAAATAATGCCTGTTCATTGTTAAGTATCAAGTGATACAAAAGGTGCAAAGATTTTTAAATGCTCCTGTAAACCATTATTAACAGGTTGACTTTCATTTTAGATATATTTTTTGCAGATGTACAGGCAGGAAAAAGGTAAGAAGGAAGATAAGAAGGAAGACTGGGTAGATATGCTTTTTATAAAAATTGGGCTGTAGTGCAATGAGTTTTTATTTTTAGGTTTGTTTGCTTCTTTAAAAGTTTTATGATGAAAATGTCCAACTGATAAAAGTGTAATAGTGTTAAGATTTTCCATGTACCCATAACTGAAATACTGTTTTAAATAAAAAGTATGAAACATAATTTTGCTTGAATTTAATGAAAGAAAAAGAAACCAAAGTGTAAATATTAAAATCTTCTGGCTACCCATCCCTGGTTATAAATTCTCTTTCCTCACATATGAGGTTTTGTGTTTACCATATCTGTGCATGTCACTTACAACCTATGAATGCATCTCAATTAGTAATGGTTGCATGAATATTATATATATTCTCCGTGATTAAATATTTCATTGAAAAAAGAAACTGAATCTACAGATCAAAGTAAATTACTATGTCAGGAAATTATAATACAAAAAATTTAACAGAGATACATCTGGCTAAGTTACTAAATT